CAGGACCCTGAGATCATGAACTGAGCCAAAGGCAGAGGCTTTAACCCACTGAGCAACCCAGGCGTCCCTTTTTTTTTTTTTTAAACCTCCTCCTTAGAGTTTGGTGAAATCGTGGGTTTGACGAGCTAGCTCTGTGTATTTGCGAAACGTGAACATGTGAAAATAAACTCCTACATTACAAGTCTGCCCCTGGGCTGCCTACAATCTTCTCGTGGCCGCTGAAGCCTGACGTCATGCTTTGTGAGTCCCGTTTACACGTTACCTCAAGTCTTCAAACCCTGGGGTGTTGAGGCAGAGGATGACTACGTAGGGAGCGGGGGCAGGCCTCACAGCCTGACTTTGAACAGGGCAGGTCTGCTTTCTATGTTGGGGTTCTGCATAAAACTTTTGTTTGGAAAAGGGGGGCCTGTGGCCAAGAGAGTTTGGACCTGTCTAGGGGCAGCTTAAAAGTGAACTTGGAAGTTTTGAGCTTTGAGCTAGGGTTTATTGGTTCTGCCTACATGGGGTTGTGAGTCCCCCACATCACTTCTCAGATTTCTTATTTTATTGTTTTAAAGATTAATTTATTTGCCAGAGAGAGAGAGAGAGAGCACAAGCAAGGGGAGCAGCAGGCAGAGGGAGAGGGAGAAGCAGACTCATCGCTGAGCAAGGAGCCCGATTCGGGGCTCGATCCCAGAACCCTGAGATTATGACCTGAGCCCAAGGCAGATGCTTAACCAACTGAGCAGCCCAGGTGCCCTGCTTCTTAGATTTCTTACAGAAGAGCCGATGATTTCCCATTATGGCCCTGCCCGGGTCTTCTCTCTGCCCGATGGCTTAAGGTCACCTCCCAACATAATGCACATTTACACCCCAACCCCCGCCGTCCCCCGTGCTGGCTCCAGTCAGGTCAGCTCCAGCACACGCTCGCTTCTTCCTTCTCATTCCCAAACCACGGGGCCAACCCTGGCCTTGCACACCTCAGAGCTGGGACTCTGTCTGTTCTGGGCTCCACCTCCAGCAGCACGTCAAGGCCCCGGCTGCCTGTCATCTCCTCTGAGGGGCTGAGTCACCCCCAGCTCCCAGATTACTGTAGCGTCTCTGCACGCATGTCGCCGCTCTCTCCCCTCCCCGGGTTCTGCTCACATGCCACCCTCTGGGGGGGCCCTCCCTCGGTCCCTCTGGGCACCCCACGTGGCAGCCTCAGTGGCACTGAGTGGGAGCGTCTGCAGGCTGGCTGTCCCCCCACCTTCTGCCATCAGCTGGTTGGGACCAGGAGAGTCATCCGCTGAGCTCCCTCCTGCTCCCTGTTTCCCATGGCCCCCCCTCATGCACAACAGCCTTCACAAACATGTTGGCCACACACGCCAAGGTATCCAAGGTTCAAACTGCTTTGGTTTCATGGTTCCATGTGCTCCTAGGGATGAAGCCAAGGGCTCTGCCCTCGGGAACTGCTGGTCCCTTGGTCCTCGAGGGAGTGTTTGGGCCCCCAGCCCCCCACCCTCTGCCCTGGAGCCCTAGGATGGCCGGGCAACGCCTGGCACTGACCACAGCCATCGTAAGCCACAGCATGTGCCCACGGGTGATGGCATTTGGTGGTACCCAACAACCCCCCAACAAAAGCCCATCTGTGGTTCATGGCAAGTAGGTGCTGAACAAGAAAAGCCTAATCTGGGGAAAAAAGACAGGGTGCCTTTTGTTCAAGCCGCCCCGAGTTAGGGATCTAGACCCAGCACATGTGAAACCCTCCCTCCTGAGCCCCACACTCGCCCGTAACTCGAGGACAGTGGCACAGCCCACCGTGCAGGGGTGAGGAGAGGAGAGTGTGGCCCACCACCCTGCTCAGGGGCAGGCTCTCACTCACCCTGGAGAAGCAGGGGACCGCCAGGTTGAGAACTCGGGCTTCTGGCGATGTGAAGCTGGGCACGAGTCCCCATGACAGCCCCCTGTGTGGTGTCACCTGGGGGATGCCACCTGCCTCCGTGTCTACACGTCCCATAAACCCACCTCCCACGGCTACTGGGAGCTCAAAGTGGGGAGTGTTCAGTCCACCAAATATTGCCGGGCAGGGGGCGCCGTGTGCACAAACCACGGCTCCTGCTCTCCCAGGGCTTTCCTGGGGGAAACCGCAGCACAGAGATGACCATTTCCACCTGTGACTGGGGCCGAGCACCTGTGGCCAGAGCTTCCAGTGGGGGGTCTGCTCATTGCTGGGCAGGTGTCCAGTTCCACGGCCTGCGTGAATATGGGAGTGTCTTAGGAAGCAAGTGTTCCGTTAATCTTTTATTAACAATATTTCCGGAAAAAAAACCCCAAAACCCGTTACATAGTCTTAGGGAAGCTCTGCAAAAGAGAAGCGCGGGGTGGGGGGGGGACCCCAGGAGAGGCTCTTCCGCAGGAGGGGAGAACGTGCTCTTTTTCCGCAAGGTGCATGCACCAAGGGGTTAAAGTCATTTTCATTAAAATTTAAATTTCAGCAGGCGTTCACTCTCCCTTCCCCGTCCTTTGAACGTTTGACTGGCAACCATTTCATATTTCAATCTCGGCAGAACAAATTGAATTAGATGTTGAAACCAAACTCGGCTCTGTTCACCAAAGCCTGCATGCTCGGCTTGCACTAATCCTTTCCTAGACGCTGCAGAGCACAGACAGGCGCTGGGAGCCCGCCCGGCCACAAAAGACAGAAAAAGCCGAGGAGGCAGTGAAAGAGAAGGAGGGAAAGTAGGCAGCCGAGGGCTCCTGGAGATTGTCTTCTGCTGGACACGCGGGTCTTGAAGCCCCAGACACAGACCTGCGAGTAGATCTCATTTCTGGCCTTGAATCCCCGGTGCCCTGAGTGTTTGGTGAATGAATACACGGGCTGAGGCTCAGGGCTGGCTTTCGGGACTCGCGCTGCCAGACTCGGCCTCTGGCGGACGCCCCTTCCTGCTCCGTGTGGAGTGAGGGGGGCTGCTGCTCACACTACTGCTCCTTTCCCAGAGGCCACAAGCTGCCCGGCGCCTCCCAGAGTCGAGGGAAGCTGGGCTTTTCTCTGGTCACACCCGCCCTCGAGCAGTGCGCAGACTGGGTCCAGAAGATGCCAGCTCGAGTCTCCTGGGGGTGGGGGGAGGCAGACCTCGAGATCTGGTCCCGGGCCATCACTACAGACCCCGGGACACCGGACGACCCCATAGCCAGGCCCTTTGCTGGGCGCCGATGAGAACCTCTACTTACCCAGCTGAGTCTGTGGACTGGCCTAGAAGTGCTGACCCAGGGGCCCGAGCCCAGATCTCAGAACAGGCGATCCTGCCTGTGGGTGCCCCCAGGTCGCAGTGTCGGGAACAGACCCAGCAATACCAGGGCCTGGAGAAGGCCTCACTTGTTTCCAAACACGCTCTCTGGGCAACCGTGGGCTCATCTCCTGTCTGGCTTTTTGTGCGGGAAACGACCAGGTGAAGGAGGTGCCCGCGCGGCCTGCTTTGGGGCTTGTGGGCAGAGGGCACCCTCTCCAGGCCACCTTCCTGGATGCAGGGACACCCCATCCTGCCCCAGGCCTCTGACATGGGCCCAGCAGGCCTGCTGTGTGCACGCAGGACTCTGGCTTGCTGGGGCATCCGCGGGTGTAATGCCCCATGCTTTCCTCTTTGTTAAGTAATAGAAACGGTTGTGATAGTCACGATTTAGCGTCCCCTAAAAATGCAAGTCTGTTAAATATTTCCCATCTTGAAGAGAATCCTACCAGGCCAAAATCCCTCTCATACCCATTTTAAAGATATGGAAACCGAGGCAGGAGACACTGAGCCCCTGGTGCAGGTTCACAAGCACTGGGTGGTCCAGCTGGGATCGCACCCAGGCCTGTGGATCCCACCCCCGCCCCCAGCTGCAGTGCACCCCACCCTCACTGAGCTCTGTGAGACCCCCTGTCTAATCCCCTGTCCTCCATCTATAAGCAGGAGCCAGGACCCTGCTCACCTGTCCAACCAGGGCTGTCTATACGTCACCTTCCCCGGCCAGGCCCAGGGGTTTTGGTGGCCTCCCTCCTTCCCTAAGCCTGGTCCCGCATTTGAACACTCCGTCCCACCCTTCAGGGTTCCTCAGGGCCTCATGCCCATGGCTCTCCCCTAGACCACCATGCTTCTGCAGTTCCCGGGGGTCTCTGTGTGCTCAGTCTTCCAGAGCCCTGTGTGCACAGACCAACCAAACTCCTGGCCTCCCACCCCTGCTTCCATCTGGGGCTCCTCCTTGCAGACAGGCCTCCCAGTTCCCCATCTCCTCGCTGTGCCTGTCGGCCAGTTCCACGGAGGGGATTCCAGCCAGAGCCAGAGGCTGGGGGTAGGGGGTGGGGGTCTTGGGGAGACAGCGGTAGAATCCAGGGCTGGACCCTCAGTGGGGACGCTGAACAGGATGGAGAGAGGGAGAGGAACACCGCCTCATCTTCTCTCCCCCGCCAGCCCCAGATGCCCGATGGTACCCACCCCTGCCAAACCCAACTGGCAGCCTATTGCCAGGGGAACCTGGGAAACTGGCCTGCAGGGATCAGGCCCTGAGTCCGAGCCGGCATGTGTGTGTGTGTGTGGGGGGGGGTGGGGCACATGGAGGGCGACGGGTTCCAGCTCTGGCCTCTGCAGATGACCCCACAGCCTCAGCAGCTCAGGTGCCCCCTTCCTGACCCTGCTGTCCCCCCCAGCCCAGCCCAGCTGCCAGCACAAGCCCCTCCCTTGTTCCCCCTGAGCATCCGGAGGCCACAGACCCTTTTGAGAAATGGCTGCATCTACATGGGCCTCAGGAGGCTCCCCTAGCCCCGGGGCTGCGCCCCTTCTTCCACATCCTCCACGGTTTATTCCTCGCGGTTCTTTTCTTAGATCGATTGATGCCCCAGTGTCACTTTTTTTAAAAGACTTTATTTTTGCTAGAGACAGAGAGAGCGCGTGTGGGAGCGAGCGCCAGTGGGTAGGGAGAGGAGAAGCAGGCTCTCCATGGAGCAGGGAGTCGGGAGCAGGGCTCGATCCCAGGACCCTGGGATCATGACCTAAGCCGAAGGCAGATGCTTCACCGACTGAGCCACCCAGGCGCTCCTTATTGTCACTTCTAACTCCCCCTACAAACTCCCCCTGTGCCCTGGTCTGGTGACAACAGTGAATGTCTCCAGGCTGCCTGGGCCCCCATGGCCCAGAGTCCCCACAGCTCACCCCGCACGCACTGGACGGATGCGTCTCCTCCAAGGAGGAGGGGCAGCATCCCTCCTCCATGCCAGGAGTACCTCACCCGGCTTCACCTGACTATTACCTAACAATCATACTTTACCTCCTTCCAGAATCATCGCAACAGTGCCGGTTCCCATACTGAACTATGACGGTGTGAGTACTCCCTGACCATGCAAGGCGGCAGTCGTTTTCAAAGGGGCAGGGACAGGGTTCAGGCCACTCCCTGCATTAAGTGCTGTGACCGAAAAGGACAGGGGTAGGGACGTCTGCGACGGATGTGGGCACAGGTCTGGGCGCAGAAGAGGAGCGGAGTATAGCTACTTCTGACAAAGTGGTCAGGGACCGTCTCTGAGTGAGGAAGGGGAATTTAAACTAAGATCTCAAAGGGGAGGTTAAAAAAAGAGACAGGAAAGATGTGAGGGAAGGGGGGGGTCCCAGGCAGAGGGAAGAGCCAGTGCAAAGGCCCTGGGGTGGGAATGCCCTGGAAGGGCCAGCACAAAGTAAGGGAGGGACAAGTGGCAGGGGGGCCTCCTTGCAAGGTGAGGAGTGTGACTTTATTCCAAGTATGTGGGTAACCCTGAGGGTTTTAGGCTGTATTTCTGTAATCTAGTTCACGGATCCAGCTGGATCCCGCTGGCTGCTTGTGGAGAAGGCAGTGCTCCTTGGTTAAGGGAGGGGAGGCGATGAGGGTGGCGTCCACTGTGGACATCCTTGGCAGCACGAAAGGGGGGTGATGGAGCACCCTGAGTCCTCCAGGAGAGTTGACTCAACTGCTCTTCATTGCTTACATGGCTGGTCCTGTCTAGAGAGCGAGCCCCTGGACTGGGGGTCAGAGAGGCCGGGCAGGGCAGGAAGGAGGGATAGGAACCTGGTCTCCCAGGCTGGAGAGCCTGTGCTTGGCACCCAACACCAGGCTGCAGGAGTTGGCGGATCCTGCCCTGGAACGTTCTAGTACCTTCGTCCAAGTCAGGCGGGTGCCCGTGAGGCCCCTTGTGTGCCAGGGCCATGGGCCTGAGACCTCCAGTGTGGTGACCATGCCCTCACCATCAGTCTGGCACTGGTGGTGTGGCCGTGTGGATACGGACTGCGTTTTCAATCGGAAAGACCCACGGGCCCCAGAACAGGACGAGCAGTGGGGAGGAATAGGGCGGGGACCCCCGTCACCCCAAGACCCATGCAACTGGGGGATCTGGTCACCTGAGGGGCTGGCCTGGGTGAGGTTTAACACTGGCCCCACCTGCGTGCGGCGCACATACCCGACGTCTACAGGTCAGCCTGCTGCGGAAGCTGGGGAATGAGGAGGGGGGGAAGCAGGACTGATGAGGAAGCACCGCTCCGTGGGCCATGGGGCACGCATGGGGCCTCACACGGCTACCGGCGCTGGAGAGCGTTGCTCCGATTCAAGGCCACTCGGCAAACTGGATGAAGACTGGAACCTCCTTCCTCCAAAACGCACAGACCAAGTTCTTTGCAAAGTCAGAAGGTTCCCGGACTCTCCCTGGGAGCCCCAGCCGGAGGTCTCAAATGAAGGAGTAACAAAAGCGCCGATGGGCGTTTCCTCGGGGCTTTACTTGGATTGACTGAGGTAGTCAAACACCAGGAAGGCACCATGCCACCCCCACGGGACAGAAAGAGAAACTGAGGGTCAGAGGGGCCCTCACTGGTCTGCGGCCACACAGCTGAGAACAGCGAGGCTGGGACTGAGACCCAGGGCAGAGAAGCGAGCGGCTCCTTCCTCGCTGGGAGGCAGGCTCCCAGCATGTGCTGAGTGCAGGACCCCCCATCCCGGCGGAGGCCGTATTTCCAGGCTGGAGTGGGGTGTGCGTGCGGGTGCCCCAAGTCTGGGACAAGCCTTTCGACAGGGCCGGGATGCATTTCAGAGTCGTCCACCCGTGACAGGGGTATCGGCCATCAGAGTCGCATCTTAGGCTCAACCGGCTGGCATGTGGGCTTCAGGTCAGCCCCTGGTGGTCAAACCAGGACTCGACGTCCCCGGGGATCCTGGGGCAGGACAGAGGCCAGGTCCCCGGCTGTGAGCACTCCCGCACATGGCCGGCAGACGTGGGAGCTCCAGCTAGCAGCCCTGGAGGGGAGGCCAAGAACAGAAGCTTCTGAGCTGGTCTTCCACTGCGGTGGGGGCAGTTCACAGACCCCGGCGGCATGTTTTTCCCACTAAACCTGTCTGAGGTGGGAACTGGGGTGCAAGGCAGACACTGGGCCCATGGAGGTTAGGTCACCAGGCCAGGATCCCCAGCCAGTGTGGGGTGGAATGGGGGCTTCCTGTCCTAACCTCTTGATGCCACACTTGATCCCATGCAGCTGCACAGGGGCGGGGCCCTGAGTCCCTGTGTGCCCTGACCCCCTGACCAGCAATGGGGGGGGCCCGTCTCCCCATCTGGGAGCAGCGGACAGCCAGGCTTGGCGGGCGCAGTTTGTTCTCGTGGCTTCCAGGTCCTGGTATGGCCACGAGAAACTTCCTATCGTGGCTGTGTCTCGCCCGCCTCCCGGCCCTTGGGTGCCAGGCACAAAGTGGATGTGTGGGGACTGCTGGAACGTGTCACCCGGGACACCGTCCCCTCTGACTTCAGGCTGGGGCAGGGCGGGGTCGCCCACACTCCCACCTGCTAGCTCTCCCCCACCCCCTCCAGCCCACACGCCAGGAGCGCAGAAGCTGGAGCGGCTGTCCCCAGTCCCCAGGGCCCTGGAGCCACGTACCCTCTCGGTGCCAGCTCGCAGCTGAAGGGTTTGCTCCTCACTGTCGTTTTCACTGTCTTCCAGCTGCTCCAGGATCTCGTCCAACACCACAGACCGCTTTTTCTTCGGGGGCTCTGTGGGAGCCCAGATGGCAAGAGAGGAGGAAAGACAGCCGAGAGGGGTGGGAGGCGGGAAGAGAGAAATGGCAGGAAGGAGAGGGACCGGGATGAGCAAAATGGAGGGCGGGGAGGCGAGAGAGGAGACGAGGCACCGGGAAGAGAGCGAGTTAGAGGAGGGGGCACAGGGGACCAGAAGCCAAAGCGGGGGTGTAGAGAACACAGGAGAGGAGAGAGAAACATGGATAGTCAGTCTCTGGCTTCACCCCAGTGCTGCCTCTCCCCAGCCCCAGGAACTCTCCTGCTTGGCTCGGCCCGCCACCCCCTCCCTGGCTTCCTTCCACCCACAGAGGCAAGGGCTCCAGTTAGGAAGGGAGCGAGGAGGGCCTCTCCCAGCAGCCCAGAGGCTGATGGATCTCGGGCTGGCTTGCAGAGAGCGGAACACCTTCAGAGAGGACGGGTCAAGTGAGAGCAATTGTTGGGGAAAGAAGTAGAAGCTTCTCCGGCTTTCCTGGAGGCTACAGACTCTTCATGGTACAGAAGGCGCCTGATAGAGCAGGAGCTCAGTGGCTGTTGGGTGAAATCATGCTCCGAGATGCCAGCGAGGGATGCAGGGAAGAACATTGACAGGCAGCTCTGCAGGGGAGGGGCTATTTCACTTGGACTTTGAAGCATGCAGAGGAGTTCTCTGCGAGGCGAGGGGAAGGGGAGGCAGACGCACGGCATGACCAGAATGCACACTGGGCTCAGCTCACACAGTCCCTTTGGGCCCCAAACACTACTGAGGGCCTACTGTGTGCAACCACCAGTCCTGCAGGTATGGGTGATGGCCGCCTCTTACGGGGGAGGGAGCTGGGCCACAGACAGGGAAATCTAAGGTTACTGAGCTACAAGGGCTGGAGGCAGGATTCAAAGCCCAGCAACGCCAAAGCCAGTCTCCCCACATTTCATGAGTGTCTGGTGCTGGCTAGGGAACACCAGGGAGATGGGGACAACTGCCCGGGAGGGCTGGGGGTGGGAGGAGGCTGCTCTCAGGCCCGACCTGCCATCAGTCCCTCTGGCAGTCTGACCTCTCACTAAAGGCCAGCCTCAGTCCCAGAGAACACGGATTTGCTCAGAGACAGCTGCAGACAGTCCCAACCCCATCCTCAAAGAGCACCTCCTCTGTGACGTCTTTCCGGGGAGGACAAACTTCCCTGTGACCCTTTGTCTTGACTCCATGCTGGGCCAGGGGCCCTCAAGGGCCTGTGTCTCATGTGGGTCTCTCCAGAGCCCCCACCCCCCACCCTGGGGGCGCAGGAGCCTGCAGGTCCAGCAGCTGCATCCACCACTGTTAGTGAGGGAGAGGGAGAGCGGGCAGGATGGGCAGGGGGTAGGGGCAGCAGCCCTGGCTGGGCTCAGACACATGCTTCCTCTCCTCGCTGCCTCCTCCACGCTCTGGGTTTCCTTCTAATCGCCAGGCTTTGGAGGTGCACAATGGCCTCGGGAAATTGAATTTGTGGGCAGGTAATGGGAGCCGGGAAATAGAAGAGCAGCGAAATAGGGCCCGTGAGCCCGGCACGGACGCCCCCTCCTAGTTACAAACAATGGGGGTGCGAGCTCCCGGGCTGCGGTAGCAGAGCCATGGGCTTGACCTTCAAGGTTTCTCTGGTCTTCCCCACCACCTGACTGCACGGGGGCACCGGCAAGGGAGCGGGTTTTTCCTGTGCGTCCTGGGGCACAGCCGGTTTTGCATCCCAAGCAGCCCCACCCCTGCCGTGGCCCCCCCGCCCCAGGCCAGAGCTGCCAGGGCAGTGGACAGCTCCTCCCCTCCCTCCCAGAGACATCTCTCAGGGGCACCTGGGGCATCAGCACCTGTGGCCCCATTGTCTCGGCCTCCGTGCTGCTGGCTCACTTGGGGAAAAGCTGAGGCTGTCAGGATGGCTCACCTCTGTGAGCCGCACGGGGGACCTGTCACCTCTGTGAACTTCCGGTTACACTCTCCCCCGCAGGTACTCATGTGGCGACAGCCACCCAGGGTCCCTTCCTGGCTGCTGGCCCCCACCTCCGGGCCTCTCCACCTGCTGTTCCCTCTGCCTGGAGTGCTCCTCCCCCAGGGAGCAATGTGGGGGACTCAGCTTTGCAGGGAGGACTCCCCGATCTCCTTGTTTAAAAGCACAAGGCCCCCAGTGCCCCTGCCCTACTTCCCTGTCCGTGCTTCTCCGTGGCATTCACCCGTGTTTTACTGTGCAGCTTACGGTCTGCCTCTCCCGCTGGGAGGCCAGCTCCAGGAGGAAGCGGTGTTTGCGCGCACGGTCAAGGCCCGCGTCCTCAAGGCCCAGAACAGCGCGCGGCGTACAGCAGATGCTCGGAAAGTACTTGTTGGCTGAGTGGACGGATGGCAGGCCCAGATGAGGTTCAACAGCTCAGGCTGCTGAAGGATACACAGAAGCAGGGGCCAAACCCAAAGCAGTCTTTAACCACCTTTGTTCACATTTTTATCCCCTCACAGCAGAGACTAGGCAGTGGCTGCTCTGGGCCGGGCCTGGGAGTGAGTGGGACAGGCCCTGTCGAGGGCGTTCCTGGTCCCATGAGGGGAGACAGAGAAGGAGCCACACAACCACAACCTATGGCAGGGTTAGTGCCGTGGTGGGGACGAACCTGCTTCATGTGTGCTATCATGGTGGCTTCCTGGAGATGACAATGTAAACGTGGCCAGAACCTAGCTGACTCCCAGCTCCGGCCCTCTGACCCCACTGTGCTGGTCTCACTCCCGCAGGCGGCTATGATCATGGCTGCCTGGCATGTTCCACCCTCTGAACCAGTGGGCACCTCCCAACCTCGGCCCCGAGGCCCTCGGGCACCAGCCATGCTCAGTCTCCTTGGGAGCGGACCTCATGGTCTTAAAGGCTTGTGAACCGGTTCTTCCACGCCTGTGCCTGGAATACCAGCCCTGCCCTCAGCTGCCCTCTTGCCTTCCTCTGAGTCATTGGATACCAGACACTCTCCTCCTCTGCAGCCATCTGACAATCATTTAAGAGCCAAACATCCCGAGACACAGCCATAGCAGAATGAAGAAAAGCCATGCCACCCAGAGCTGGGTTCCAATCCCCTGCTTCCCCTCGCTGGTGGCGGTGGGACCTTCCCCACTCTGAGCCTCAGCTCCCCCTCCCGGAAGAGGCAGTGGGGCCAATCCCGCGGCAGGCCCTGGAGGGGTGATCTGGCAGAAGAAACTGAGGCCCAGAGGGAGGGGGAATGCAGCCAGCAGAAGGACACACACAGGCAGGGCCTCAGCTGAGTCTCAGGAACCCCCTGCAGGAGGGAGTGCCGTCACCCTCATTTCACAGCTGGGGAGACAGAGGTGCAGGGCAAGGCACACCCCCCAAGGCTCCCAGCTACCACAGAGCAGCCCCGGGGTCCTGCCTCAATTGTCCCGTTTGTAGGCCATACACATTGTCTGGGTTGTGCCATGGGGCGTCTCTCAGGGGCCCTGGCCTGGGGCAGAGGCCATGGCCAAGGCTGCACGGGAGCCTAAGACACAGAGACAGGCGTGTGGTCACCACGTCTCACCTTAGGGTCATACAGTCCTGGCTTTGGCACTTTCCCAGCTGTGTGCCCTCGGGGCGGGGGGCACATACCCCGCAAGGTTCACTCTCTCATGTATAAAATCGGGACGGGGGGCAGGACAATTCCTCCTCCCTTGCTTTGTCTGTGGCCACCATCAGCTGACCCGCAGGCCCACAGGTACGTCCCTCCTTCTGCCCGGAGCACGTGCAGGCTCCTCCCTCCGGCGAGAGCCTCTCCTGGCTACTCTGCACGTCCTCCCTCAGCATTTAACATACACACTCGGGAATGCAGGCTCAGGCCCCTCTGACCAGCCTTTTGCTGCCTCAGTCTCCTTGCCTGTAATGTGGGGGCACCACCAACACCGACCTCAGGGGGTCGTGGGGAGAATTAACGGAGGGAAAGGAGCAGTGACCGGCCCCTGGTTGGGCCCCAGCGGGTGGCGGCCAGACTGACATCTCTGTTGCTCTAACCCCTGTCGCTGTGGGTGTTGGCGTAGTGTCTCGCTTTGCCATTAGGCCGGTGGGCGCCGACAGGGCGGGGACTGTCAGGATGGCTATTGATGGCAGGTGATCGATGACTAGCTATTAGATAAATGAGTGAGACGATCTGGTTGGTAAAGGCTAAGGAAGGTATGGTACCCATTCCCCACCCCACTCTGGAAAACGGGGGGATCCACGGACTCCTGCGGGGTGAGTGGTGTAGGCAGCAGGTCAGATGATCTGAGGTCCCCGCTCTGCCGCCTAACGGCTCGGTGACCTTGGGCAAGTCACTTCAGCTCCCAGCGTCTCAGCTTCCCCGTCCATATGTGGGGCGTGAAGACAGGACCCGCCTCCCGGGGCGGCCGCGGGCATCTGCGAGTCAGTGCACAGAGCCCTGCACACCAAGGGCTCAGCACTTGGGAGCTGTGACTGCTCTCGAGGGCCTGACGCATCTGACTCGGGTCGGCCCCCCCCCCCCC